ATCCCAAAGCATGTGCGTGCAAGATAACATCAGATCGGACAAGCTACATCGTGACCGAAGCATGCACGGGATAGATCAGGCCGGTTAGAAAAGTCAACATTCGTTCACTGTGATCGACGCGTGCGAGTGGGATTTTGTGTAGGGCAGGCAGGCCCGCAGCGTGCTCGTCTAAGCAAAAGGATTAAGCCTGAAAATGAAAACCGGCTACAAGTAGGAAAAATGAAACGAACGACGGGACAAAAATACTGAATTGAGATCTCCCAGATCTTTCAATGCACCATGACGAGGGGAGACCTCCGAGAAAAGGCTGCAAGGCGCCGAACAAAATCAAAACAATTCTGCTACAAAAGTTGCTCTACTTTCGCCCCCGACTCTAAAGCAGCACCGATTGCTGGTGGGAGAGATGACAGCACGCACGTCATGCCTTGGTTTCTTGCAGAATTCCTTTTGGAAGGCTTCGCGAAACGGTATTCAAGCCAATACAACACTACTTTAGTTGGCAACCACAACCTTACTTACAGGAAGAAATCACAGAAAATGAATCCGGAAACACACTACATACGTATTCCTGTATTTGGAAGCGCACGTGAAGTGAAACCTCTGGAAGCAAAAGGGTGGTATGTTTGAAGATGCACCACATTGTTTAGGCATTAGTACAACAGTTTAAAACCCGTATAGCATGGAGATGTCTAGGTTCAAAGAGCCAATACTAAGTCTTGCAGCATGCCAATAAAGGCGTACATACGTTGAACAATTAAAGTCAACACAATTTACCCCCCTGTGTCACCTGTGGAGACTTGACAACCTCAGACAGGTCTAACCCTTCCAACGGAAACGTCACCAGCGATGATATCTTTGACGATCCCGCGAATCGCTTCAGGTGCACGATAAGCACGGGCGGCACCTGTGAACGTCCACCGACGGGGGGTATGTGCTCATGGCAATGCATGCCGCGGTTGGGAGGAAATGGGTACATTTGGTATAAGCATAATAAAGTCTTATAGGTATATTCTTTGTTGTAATGAACTGAGCGCCATTGCGCCTCTCGTCCAAAGGCTGCTGCTCCCTACTATTGGCTTCGTCTAGTCTTGGGAGGCCACTCAACTCCTTACAGCAACGCGACGAAGCCATGTCGGTCAGGTCTCCACTGGAGGAGGCTTGACAACGGGGGGGGGGGGGGATTCGCCGCAGTCCGATGGCCTATTGACCAGACACGCCTTTCGAGACGGACCACCGGGGAGGGTGGTACATGCGTGCTGACTCCCACGTTTCACATTTCGGCGGCAGCAGCTGCAGCAAATGAGAGCGGCAATATGTTGCGACAGCTGCGGAAGAACTTGCCTTCCAACACGTCCCCTTCGATTGTGGTATTTTCTCGAACGGATACAATAGTCTTTCGATGATTGTTCGTATCATGAAAAAAACAAAAAGAAAGAGCTTTACATGAAACATAATCAAAAGGGGTTACCTTCCACAGGTCGAGCTTCTTCGTTGCGCGCTGGTGCTTCTTGCAGTTGGAGCAGTACCACGCATTGTCTGCAAAAGGAAAGCACATAGCTGGAGAATTACTCAACTGTTGTCAACACGATGATTTCGCGAGGCTCGGGTATTGGTCAACACAAGGGCTACGAGCAGTGCTTCAGTCGTTGATAGTACAATACGCGGCAGTGAAAAGAAGAATCATCACGACCACCAGCAAGCGCCTGCTGGGTGTACGAAGACGGCCCCCCTTACCTCCTGGAAAACCAACAACATTTGTGCAATAAACGAATGGTGTGCTGTGGCACAATACAACAATAGTGCCACTGTACGTCTTGCGGCGCTCACCGCCATTACGTGCCTACATCGGTCTGGGGTCCTCATTGATCGGTGCACCGATTGCAAGCAGTCCCTCGTTGCAGAAAATGTGCGCACAAATTGGAAAAAAAGTACTTCTCCAAGGAGCTCATGTGGAAACAGCCACCAAAATGAAAAAAAAATAACATCATACCTGCACGCACATGGCTACTACTGTACAACTCCAAGAAAAAACTCCTCGGCCGAGTTTTGGATGTGGAAACAGCCACCAATATACACACAAAAAAGAAACATCCCGCCCACAGCACTACTACAACTCAACGCAACCACTTCCCCGCGACAGCAAGCAAGCCCGGTTCAGCAGCCAGCAAGGCGGCTCTGACTAGCTATAATACCTCACCTCCGTCGAGAACCTCCTCCTCGCAGAACATCCGAATACACGCCTCCAACGAAATCCCCGGACCCCCGCTCCCGCCGCCGGGGCCCCGTCGCGGTCTTCCCTCCCCTTCGTCATCGCCGTTGTTCATGTTCATGTCTTCGGGAAGGGGCACCGAGAGGTACATGAAGGGGTCGAAGGTGACGGACCGGCGGCCGCAGACGCTGCACTGCAGCGCCGACCGTAGCTGCCCTTGGAACAGGTCCACGATTATCGACCTGTTCCGCTGGCACACGCGAAAAATAACGAGAAAAATAGAAAAAAAGTGATGTTTTTTCCTTCGGTGTACACCTTTCGGTGCGACGAAAGGGGGTGCTGCTGCTGCTGCTGCTGCTGCTGCTGCTGCTATTGTGGGCAGTGCCGTTGTTGTTGTTGTTGTTGTTGTTGTTGCTACTATCGGATGTTGATGCTGCAGGTGCTGCTGCTACTGCTGCTACTGGTGTTGGTTTCGGCGAAGAAAGGGCCTTCGTTACATGTGTTCTTCCTTCTTGTCAAGCCCGCCCTACGAGTATGGGCATCATCACCACTGAGGGAACCAGCCCAAGCAGATGACACCATAGAGGCAATCAACCGCAAGTACCCGTTCCGAGCTTGAAGTCAAACTCCTCCTCCGACTACAGCAAAGATGGCTTGGCCCCAACCATCCCTTTTCTAAGCCCGCGTAGCAGTCACCTCCTGTTCCTACACGTACAGTATGCTTCTGACAGGCGACACTGCTGTATTGGAGTATCCGAATAAGTCGCTATCAATGCCTCCTCGCTGCGAACCCTTCCCTCTCCAACTAAAATGAAACAAACCACTGCAACAGCAATGCCCACCAACACCAACTACAGCAGTATTATAGGTTTACAACAGCAACCATAAACACGAACCATCGCTACCACAACAGCAACTTCTACAACAAGGAGCACAAGACAGCAACAAATGCTGCCATGCAAAACGGACACAATCACCACCAACAAGGCTAACCTCCAAGTAGCCTTTCCAAGCCTGCATGGCCACCATCTCCTCCGCCTCCCCCTCCTTAGCCTCCTTAGCCTCCACGTACTTGCGGTCGGCGTTGGGGACACGGTTAAGGTCCTCGTGCACGGCATCCAGCAGGAAGGCGAGAAACTCCTGCACGTCCTGCTGCTCGTACCCCGCAAACAGCGGCATGGATTCTCCAACCTGTTCGGGGTAGACGGGGGTGGGGGTGACCCATCAATTTGAGAGGAGGAGGAGACAGAGACTCTTGCTGCTGCTCGTGGAACGATTTTTTGGTTGGCGAACCGAGAGCAGAGGCACAAGTGAAGGGGAACATGAGAAGCGACCAAGGCGAGGGGGTGTTTGGGTCCGACACGGGCGGGCGAGAGAGACCGGTCACCAGGGCCGAATGTGACCCCAGTGTGCAAGACAGCGCCAACGAGCTAATGGTCATATTAGCAACAGTGTCATTGTCGTGCCACGGTTGCGTATGTTGGCATGGGAGATCGATAGAGTAGTAGCTGTGACCGATTGATAATGGTAACTCGTTGGCGCTGTCTTGCACACATTCGGTCCTGGGGACCAGTCTCTCTTGCAAACACCCCCTCGCCTTCGTCGCTACTCATTTTCCTCTTCTCCCGTGCCACTGCTCTCGGTTCGCTGACAAAAAATATCTCCAAGTCGGCACGGATCCCCCCGTCTATTTTGGGCGTGGGCGGAGGAGGGCGAACATTGATATTCAGTACGGGGGGGGGAGACAGCAAATTTGGAATTTCCTGCTACCGGTGCCTCGAGAGCAGAGGCATGGAACGTGCCACCCACTCGTCGCGGGGTGAGGTCGGGATTGCACACTATATGTACGTGCCTCAACTACAACTACACAGCCGTGCATGCACAGGGCCATCAAGGCGTGTTGCTCTACGTTTAAGGAAGTATGCGGTCGCTAAGCGTGTCGGCCGAGCGTTCTTGGGGCACCTGGCGCCACACCGGGCAATCGGCCAGGGAAACAATCGCGACAATACGAAGAGAATTATTCATAAAGAAACGAGATGCCGCTGCCGCTACTGCCGCTGCTGCTGCTGCTGTCTTCGTCCTCACTCTGATCTTCATAAGTCATAAACTTGACGTCAACCGCAACAAATATCGGTTTTCGTTTTGTTGCGCCTTGCCTGCGTCTTGAAGTCGCCGGGTCGTAGCGAGGCCTTGTCGCTGCGCCACATGTCATTGGCCAGAGATCCAAATGCCGAAGCCATCAGTCCCTTGTGCCCCAGAAAATTGCCTCTGAAAACAAAAACAAAAAAGCACGTACAGTAATTCCCACACATGAGTAAGTACCACAACGAGAAGAATCGAGTGCTCTCACCAAAAAATCCACATTTGCAGCAAAAATGGTGGCCTCCGGGGACGTAAAAGTAAACTAACACACGGCTAAACTCGATTCAATTCACGCGGTTTCGCAAAAACCCTGTCCTGAACCCACGAGCCACGCGACTTGCCTCTCACCCACGCCATGACCGGACCGGCCTCTCTACAGTACGTACGGTACAGTGTGTCTGTTTCGGTGCGCTCTCAGCGTCGTGTCTGTTTCCGAGTGAAGTATTGATTCAGCAAATTCAGCAGCACCTTGTGCGCGAGATCACATCGCTCTTGATTAAGATGCATACTGTGCACGCTACGGGAAGCAAACACAAGACACACACGAACAAAATGCCGGGGGAGCCCGACATCTACAAGGCGTGTTCACGTTTCCTTGTACCCCGCTATTAACTGCAGCATTCTCGTTGGTCAGCTGGGTACAGTAGCGCGGTCGATGTCGAACGCAAGACGAGAAACTCGTATCTGCGGAAGACATGAATTTGTCACGTTTTAAGGGCGCGGGGGGGATCCTCCTCTTCAAAAATCCAGGAAAAGTCTGCATATCTCAGTTTTCCAAAGTCTAACTCCACTACGACTACAATCGCAAATTAACCGTCCGCTGACCCCTCTCGTGCACAATGTTAGTATCTGAGATTGTAGCCCTTGCGATACACTACAGAATAGCGGTCCGCGATTTTGTAAAAACGACCCTTGTATCATCGAGATCGGTGAGCTACAAGCAGCATTCTTGAAGCTGATGTGCGGTCCGAAATTGAAACCCTTCAAGCACATAGTGACAGCGAATCACTGCCTATGTGAGTGTGTGGGGCCGCGAACTTCAGCGCAGCTCTTCCCTCACATGTCCAGCTCGTCGCCATTGTCGATTTGAAAACCTGGGGTCATGTATATGCAGGTCTAGCCGTAAAGTGAAGGTGCTTGAAGCGTTTCAACATCGGACCGCACAGCAGCTTCAAGAATCCTGCTTGTAGCTCACCGATCTCGATGATAAAAGGGTCGTTTTTACAAAATCGCGGACCGCTATTCTGTAGTGTATCGCAAGGGCTACAATCTCAGATACAGATATTGTGCACGAGGGGGGCTCAGCGGACCGTTAATTTGTGATGGTAGTTTCGTACTGGAGTTAGACTTTGGAAAACTTGGATGTGCAGGCGTTTCCTGGATTTTTCAGAGGAGGTTTTGCGATGGGTGGGAAACACAAAACACCCACACAAGCAGTATATAGCAGCAGAGTCTCGCCTGTTTATCTCCCTCTTCCAGTCAAAGCCTAGGAAGTAATCCGCCAGGGCTTCGCAGTTGAACAGGCACTGGAGGGCGCTGTTCATGAAGCAGGTGTTCCCAAGGTTTTGAAGGCCTGCGGCGAAACAGGCGACGCCAACGGAGCGGTGAGAAACAAACGGGTTGTTGTCCGAGAAGAAGATTTTCATGATTTTCTCATATGCATATGTAAGAAAACAACGAAAATTCTGTGTCTGAAATTCACATCAACCCACGTGTATTCATTCCAATCCACGTGTAAGAAAATTCCAGGATTTTTTTTGCGATGGTTGTCCCGCGAAGACGGACGCCGTGTCGCAATGATAGTGATGGCGGCCATTTCGCCCGTGTGGGCTGCTTGTGGTTTATTATGAAAAATACTACTCATGTACCTGGTATGCAGCAGTGCGTCGAGCACCGAAACATGTTGTGAGGCAGAGAGCCGTGCAGGAGACAGGGGAGAGAGCATTGACGCAAACGAGTCCCGAGGAAAACGATGCAAACTGGGCTGATGCGGTCGGAAAAGCCGATCACTACGAGCGGCGGACAAGCCGATCACGATGCATTGATATTAGCCGTGTGCTGCACAAGGGATCCATACCTCCGGCAGTGTCATAAAGGGGTGATGACGCAAGATGGAAACAAAACTAGGCGGCAGCAGGACCAACACACAATTGACGAGCGTTGACTCCAAGAGCCCAGAGAACCTCAAAACCAAAAAAAAGTGGTCCAGCCTGTTTATTGGATAATAAAATTGTCCGGTGTCCATACCTGCGGATGAATAGACATCTTTCAAACTCCGATTCCCGCTTCCCGCATGCGGGTTAGCACGTGAAAATCCAGAAATATGCGGGAATTCCCGCCTCACGAGTTTGAAAGCGGTAGCGGGCTGTTCGTTATATTCCCGCGGGAATCCCGTCGCCCTGGCGTGTAAAGAGTCAATTCCTGCATGATTTCATATGGGGCTTTCGAGCCCCATATGAGGGAATTCCCGCATCACAACTTTGGAGTGCAGACAGGAACCAAACGCGCCGCTTTTCTAAGCAAACAGCAGAACACAGCGCGAGGTGAGAGCCACAACCCACATCCCACACAGCAGCCGTGTGCACGCTTCACAGCTACGAGCTACACACCGCTAAGATGAGCAACCTCGGCAACGACACGGCGCACCCTGTGCAGCACGGCGGCGTTCAAGGACAACAGACGGCGCCCGTGCTTGGTGCGCACCCCAGCATGAACGTGCCTGCATACCCCAAGACGGCAACACCTGGCGGATTTTACCATCCGCAGCATCATGCGCAGCCCTACGCCACCGCCAACGGCACGGTATGGGGTTCGGGCCGTGACCCACGGACTGCCGGAGCTATGGCTCCTCCGGCAGGTCTCCCTGGCATATGTGGGGTTTCCGGTGTTGTGAGCGCCGCGGCATCCGCCGCTCAAGCTGCTTGGCTAGGAAGTCAATCGGGGCGTGCTTCGGAGGCCCTTCCAACGGCGAAGCGCACGCACGACGGGCAGCTTGTTCAGCACGCCCGCAGCCATGCAGGATGGGCCCAAGCACAGGGTTGTCCCCGAGACGGGGCGCCCCCTCCTCACTCAGCGCCTTCCCCCGGCCCTCTCACCGGCGCAGCAGCGAGTTCCACCCCTGTTGCAACCTCTAACGACAGCGGCGTGCCTCATCAACCAGCTTCTTCTCCCCGAGGGGCGGCCGCCGCCGGCGCGCCTCCAACGGACCTCACCGGCAGCTTGGTGGATCCTCCTCGCTCGGCTTTTCTCCCAGGCCCTCCCTCCAGCGCGGCGATTGCAGGACCGGCTACAACCGACCTCGCCGGGTTGGGAGAGCCTCTGGCTGGATCGGGGGATGCAAAAGGAGTTGAGGGCGCCGCCGGCGGTGCTGTGCAGCTGTTGGCCGTTGCTTCCAATACGGCGGTCGCGGCAGCCGCGGGGAAGGAAAACGTGCACACCCCGCCGAAAAAAGGCGGACAGAACTACAACGGTCTGTACCTGAGTCTGCTGCTGGAGGCCCTCCTCGATGCTTGCAAGACCAGGGACGATGGGAAGTGGAGGATGAAGACGACATGCTCGACGAATTGGGGAGAGCAGAAGGCCATAGCGGATGCCGTGTTCGAGAAGTGGCAGAAGGCCAGCCTGGATGAGCGCATGCGCTATGGGGGAAGATCCGATTCGACATTGGAGTATGGGAAGGGAGCGCAAGCTAACTTCCTCACGAGCAAGAAGCACCAGTACCGGAAGTGGGCGAACCAACCCGCGGAAGCACGGTCAGTTCGCGTGTCTTTATTTTTGGCATCGACGGCGGTGTGCATGAGAAGTGTTTTTGTGGGTGTATCATGTCATGGATTAATTTTTAGCATTTTGTTCCTCGTGCTCCACACAAATAGGCAAAGCGAAGCGTTTAACGCCTACACAAGTTGGGTACGAAAGGGATGCATACTAAAATACTGCTGTCATTCAAAATTTGAAAATGTAAACCATGGTTATGACAGAACTACGACAAGCGACCTGTGCGTACGTACTGCACGCCCGCGCGCCATAAACGATTGATTGCGTTTACTGGTAGGCCTCGCTTGCATGTTCCATGACGAGCTAGACGGGAAGCTGACGGTATTAGCATAGGAATATTTGCTCAGACTACTCCGACCCGGGCAATAGTTAAGCATCGCATCCATGAACCCCGCAGCAACACCGCTGGTGTAGATGAAGGATGGGGTGTGGGGATTGGGAGGGTTACAAGATAGTTAGATGGAGAGAGCGTGAGAGAGAAAGAGAGAGGAAGTGAGAAAGGAGAGAGAGAGAGAGAGAGATGACACGGTCGTTGAACAAGCAAGTGCGGTGTTTGGTTGGCGTTTTGGTTACATGTCGAGCGTCTAACCAAAACGTAAACACGTGGACAGGCACGTGTTCCATAGATAACTTGGGTTCCAGTCTTCATTCGAAACCTACCCCGGCGACGTTTTTGTTTGTGACAATCGATAATCTAACATCGCTTTTTGCTGCTGTTTCATTGTCGACAGGAACGCGGCGAACGCCACCAGCACGATGTGGCGTAGGCTCGCACCGACGATGGAGGCCTTCTTCCGCCTCGACTCCGACACGGCTTGCGACGAGCCCAACGCGCAGCAGTCGAAGGCTCAGGGGGTGTTCAAGGACGCGAAGAAGAAAAAGGTGAATAAAAGTGGATTCGGAACTCGTCTAAAAATCTACAGATTTTTTTGCTTGGGCATTATTGGTGTACTTCCATTGAGCGAGATCGCTCTACGTTGATTGAT